GGCAGAGAGGGTTCGTAAATGGCAGAACAATGTCCTAAGAAGGTGGTAGGAGCTGGGATCCAGGGTAAAGGGGGAGAGGTGTAGAACTGGCATGAAGGCAGTGAGGAGCCAGCAGGGTCTTGAGGAGGGGGTTGGCAGCCAGGAGTGAAGTAGGAAGGGAGAGGCTACCTGGCTGAGCAGGAGGGTGTGGGGTGAGTGCTGATAAATGCGAAGGAGGTAAGATGAAATGGAGAAAGGAAGGAGGCCTGACCAGGTAAGGGCAGGTGTGGCTTGTCCGAAGTGCCCAGGCTGGAGGCTGGAGATCATTTAGGGGCTAACATCAGTCTGAACGACCCTGGGAGACCTTCCCTATCTACGATCCAACCTCCCTCCACCACCTTTCTCCTATCCCGGGACCAAATCTCGGGTTCAGAGAAGTGGTGGGTGCCCCACGGCAAAACCACTTCCTGGCACAAACCTCCCAGGAACTTGTCTGGGAGTGGTCTCCGGAATGGTGGCGGCCCTTTCAGAAAGGGCCTTTATGCTCTGCGGCAGCCCGGACCCAGCTCAGCATGGCCGGAGTTCCCAGGCCCGGGTGGAGGAAAGGGAGACAGCCCCCTGCAGACAAGGAGTTTATTTTTAAACCCAGTGGGCACTACAGCCGCCAGCGAGAAGCAGACGGCTCTCGGGACGGGCATCTGGTCAGACACTTGTCAGGAATCCTGGAGGCTGCCAAGTGGGCAGGGGTTCAGGTGGCTGAAGGCCAGGACCCCTGGCATGAGGGGTATAGGAGGAGGTGAGGGCGGCAGCAGTTAACACTTCAGAGCCCAAAGCAGCACTGGCAGAGGAGGGCGGGGAGGCAGGGTGGCAGCTGCAGGACGGCACAGCAGGCTCTGGGGCCAGGCTGCCCCCGAGGCAGTCACATTGCTGTCCTTGGCCCTTCACCCAGGGATGGGGGCTGGCTTGCTCTCAATTTGTGGTCAGGAGCCTGTCGGGCCTCCTGCAGGCTCTCCATGCTCCAAAAAGCAGACTCTGACTTAGAGCAACCTGAGACGCCGGTCCAGCTCCTCCGCCCCCCGCCGGGTTTCCAGGGCTGGGGCTACAGCAGACCCCCGCCTTTTCCTCCTATGAGGGGGTGGGGTCTCAAACCACCAACCTTTAGGATAGCAGCTCAGCTGGTGACCCCACACCAGCAGGGCACCTCTCCCTGCCCCCTGGACTGTGATTGTCCCTGCGGTGGACTTGGAAAGCATTGCGTGATTGAATGCAAGGTGGTCACCAGGTCTTGGCACAGAAGACTACTACTTGATTTTGTAGCCCCATCAGCCTCAGAAAATTGAGGCCCCTTCTCCCCAAAGTAGCAGGCCCCCTAGGGACCATGGTGCTGCTGGGAAGGGCCGCCTGTCGGTGATTGCTGGGTTTAGGATCTTACAGTAGCTGGAGTCACAGCTCTGACCAGCACTTCCTCTTCTCTGGGTTTCAACACCAGGAACCCACTGAGCCCTGTGTGGAGGCCAGCTGGGCCAAGGGTCATTGGGTTTGTACAGGGACCTGACGTCCTTAGATGCATCTGTGACTCAAACTTTCCCAGGACCCGCTATCCCCGAGAGCCAACTGTGGGGGGCACTGCTATTGCTGGCAGCCCGTGCCCACTCTCGGACCAGGCCCTGCCCAAGGCCCTGGATCTCGGGAGAGCATGACAACCTGTATTTTTCTGGAAGTACGTTCCCCAGGGGCCAGAGCCCTCTCAGGACAGGGAAATCTAGGTCTGTGTCCCTGAGTTAAAATTCCCCCACCTGCTCACGTCACCCTAGCTCCCCTTGCCTTCTACGAGGGACAGCAAAGTCCTGGCCTGCAGCTTCTCTGCTGCAGCTGGACGTGGCCGCTCGGGGCCTGGGTGCCTCTCAGCCGCCTGGCTTTCAGGTTGCTACTTAACTGTGAGCCATCACTTAATTTCTAGACCATATGTAACTCCAGCCACACGTGGCCTGTGAGGCCCAGAACTGGCCGGCCCACACTGAGCAAATCAAAGACTAAGTGCTCTTTTTAAAAAAAGTAACATGAAGAGAGGGCAAAGAGGAGGCTCAAACAGAAAGGAAATGTTTAGAAAATAATGATGACAACATATGTACAAACATGCTTGATACAATTGATGTATGGATTGTTGTAAGCGCCCCCAATAAAATGACCTTTTAATAAAAAAGGGAAGGAAGTCACCTGATTAGCTATCTTTGGCATGTTAAAATCAGACTATCTTGGGGATAGTGGGAAACCAAAGCCAAACTCACTGCACCGAGTCACTGTGGACTCGGCGCGGCCCTCCAGGACAGGGTAGAGCTGCCCCTGTGGGTTTCCGAGTAGAAAACCTGGTCTTTCTCCTGCAAAGCGACCGGTGGTTTCAAACTGCAGACCTTGCACTTAGCTTCCCAGTGCATAACCCCCACGCCACCTGGGCTGGTAGATAAAAGCTGGTAAGATAGGCTTTACCTGTTTTTTAATGGGGCTGTGGGAACTTTGAGAACTCCATAGGTAACTGCATCTGTGACCACGTCTTGGTTGTCGGGCAGCCCTGGGCCAGACCCTGGGTGAGCCACAAGAACCGGACAATCGTTCCTTCAACGTGAGCACACTGTGACCCTGCTAAGCACTCTCACTCCAGCCAACCCACCTCTGCCCCACACCCCCATGCCCTCACCACGTGGCTTTAGGAGGGAGAATCAGAGGTTACCTGAGGTGGAGATCCTATCAACGGCTTCTCTACCCCTGGAAAACACCGCACACCTGAGCCTGCCTTGCGATAGGTGACCTTCCTGGCAAATTTCAAATTCCTAGCTGTACCCACCACTGTAGGAAGTGCTGTGCCGGAAGTCCCAGGAGTGTTTTTCAGATGATCTGAGTGGTCAAAGCCAATGATCCATCCTAGCCCATGAGGAGACTTCCTCTGGTGTCCTTTCACCCAACCCCACCCACACTGAAAGGCAATGAGAAGACCCTAAGAGACACACCCACTGGGTGGGGAGGGGCATGCAGGCACCTGCAGCTCCGGGGTGTGACCTGAGGCTACACTGACCTTCAAGAGCATCAGGTGCTGAGCCTCACCTGAGCCCTCCAAATGCTCCGCTGCCATCTGCCCGCCAAGAGCCATGCTTGTCATGTAGCATGACTGACCGGGGGCTGGGCACGAAGGGGTTAAGCCTGAGGAGGGAGGACCTGGGCGGCAAAAGTTAAAAATAGGGTTCTCTAGCCCACAGTGAGTGGGGCAGATAAGGACAGAAGGCGCCTGTTCATGACTGGGGGTGGGGGGCATCTGAGGAGGAGGCAGCCCGGCCTCTGCATGCCCACTGGCCCCAGTGGCAAGGCGAGGAGCCTGTAGTCAGGTTGCCCGGTGTCTGTAGGGGAGGAGATGCCAGAGTACTGGGACCAAGCATCTTATTGGCGGTGGTGGCCTTGCCTTGCTCTGCCTGCAGGTGAGCCCGGGGGTCCATAGCCTCTACAGGCTGAGAGGGAGACCACAGCCCTGTGGCCCCAGGCCCTGTCTGATGCCATTGCTTGCTTCCATGATCTCCCCTACCTCCCCCGTTTCCTCACCCCTCCCCAAACTTGCAGGAGCCTGAGTGGTCCTCCAACAGGCCTGCCCCCCAGACCCCCGGCCTGAGAAAGGAGGCGGCAGGTGGGGAAAGAACAGGTTCCTGGTTCCCGTTGTTCCCACCGGGGCACACTGCCCAGGCCCTGCCAGGTGAGGGATGGGTGGTCCCCGACTTTCTGGGCTCTCAAGAGGGGCTTCTCAGGCTTTAAGCAGAGAAGCTGGGCCAGCCCCCTTTGCCTTTTGCCATGTGAATCCGCGTGCCACTACAGCCTTGGGGACGGGCCACAGGCATGTGTCTGCCGGGGCAGAAGGAAGCACAAGGGGGCCCCTCCCTCAGTGCCGGTGGAATCGGAAACCACACCCTTTCCTCCCCGGCCCACATCTCTGAGGGCTGGCTTTCCCACATTGGCAGGTCCAGGGCCCAAGGGGCCCCAGTCAGACCCCGCATGCCCAGAAGGAGAGACATAAGCTTGGTGTGAGCCCCAAGGAAGCCCCAGGACATGGTCTTTAATGGATACTCAGGTTGGCTTCCCCACCCCCCAGCCCCGATGTCTGTACAGGATGCTGTGTGGATAGTCCGAGGCCCGGCCAGCGCAGCCTCTGCACCTCCGTGGGCACTGCCAGGATGGGCAAGAGGATGCAGACAGCAGGGAGCCAGGGCGGACTGGTCACAGGAAGTCTCTTGTTCTCCACTCCCTGGACACGTGTGCACACGGACATGCCGTGTGCAGAGGTATTCACACGTGTGCTGATGTGCATCAAATGCTCATGTCCAGGCAGACCCCGACCTGTGTGCACGCACCCACCGCCAGAGGGCGCCATAGTCTAAACCCAGCCCTGGCTCCCTCTGCCCTGGGGCTGGTGGGTGGAGCAGGACTGGCTGGAGGGCACCTGCCTCCCCCTCCCTTGGACAGTGCCAGCTAGAGCGCAATCCCTATATCCCCATTGTAGCCAAATGCACCAGCCACCCAAAAGGCTGGTAGTGGGTCCCAGTTTGCCCCTGAGGGGAGGTGCAGATTAGCAGGGAGCAAGGATCCCCCCATCCCCAAGAGGCTCAAGAGGAGCTGAAAGGCGGCTCGGAGCCGCTGCCCAGAGTGGGCAGTATCCCTGGGAGGGTAGCTTCGCTCCTTTGTGGCTTTCATCCTTAAGGTCACTTGGCCCCTTCTGTCCCCATCAGCCAGCTATCAGCTGTGGAGGATCCAACCTCTGCGCCAGGCAAGAGCCCCGAGGGAAGGCCCAGGGAGCCCCCTTGTGCACGGCCCAGGCTTTGTCGCCCAGGCTTGGCCAGAGCGGGGAGAGCCCCAGGACAGGATGGAGGAGAGGCCCTGGAAGGGACAAAAGGAACAGGATGGGTTGGACAGGGCATGGAGGGCTTTTCTAGAAGCCGAGGGTCATCCCAGCAAGACCTGCCCGTCTCTCCATCTCCTCTTGCAAGTCACAGGCCAAACCCCCAACCCTCCAGGCACTGGGCCACCTCTGGACTCCCTACCTGAGGGAAGACAGTTCAGCCAGGCCAGGGGGTACCGGAACCCTGAGTCAGCCCCAAACCACCCTTCTGAAGGGGGGAGGTGCCATTTTATTTCAGGGACTGCATTTCCAAACCCATGTGTCCTGGCAGAGAGGGCAGGACAATGGTTTGGGAATTTGAGGGTCGTCAAGCCCATGACCAGGCCGTGGGCACAGGACAGGCAGCTTTGGTTTGAATTCAGCACTTGGACGTCTCCTGGGAACCAAGGGCTGGGTGGGGAGGGTGGGACACCTGCTGGCCCACCTGGCCGGAGGCCGGCATGTGCGCAGTGCAAGGATTTCCGGTAAGACTGTCCCCAGAGGGCCATGTCTCCATTCCCCGGTCCAGAACACCCACCGTGCCCTGACCCAGCACCCCTAAGGTTACATTCGTCATTGAAGATTCGGGTTGTTTTTTTAAAGTTGCAGTGAGTCTCCTTCCCCTGGTCACAGAGAATTCTGCCCCTGGCCCCGGTCACTTGGTTCCAAGGAGAGGCCATCCGAGTCCTGACTGCTGGTGGCATCCTGTCCGGCCCCCACTTGAGCAGTGGCAGTCTGTGATGGTGGAAGCTACATTCACGGGGGCTGGGGGGTCGGGACGCAAGGCCAAAGCCACATGAGGTGGGGTGGGGAACCAAGAGGGGAGTGCCCCCTGCCCCGGACTTGGTCCACCCTGGTGGTGCGAAGGGCAGGGCCACAGCCCCCAAAGCCCTGTGGGGCCGGGAGTTGAAGGGCTTAGGCCGGAAGATATTTGCATGATGCCTCCTTCTGTGGCTGGGGCGGGGGCAGCCTCGTGGCTCAGGGCTGAGTCGGAGGGCACCAGGCTCGGAGGGTGGGGGGTGGCACTTAGGCCCCTCCAGATCTGGAACGGAGATGGAGGGGTGGGGACAAGAAGCAGAGTCCGGGAGGTCAGGCTGGCCAGGCAGGGTCAGACAGCGGCGGCATGGCAGACAAACAGATGCAACACGGAAACTGGCTGCTTTCTCGG